TCGACAAAGTTGTCGTTTAGGCACAAGTGCATAAATTATCGGACATTTTTTTTGCATGATAAGATCACTAGAAGGATGTGCAAACCCTTTGGGGTAATTGTTGAAATTAAGATCAAGTTGTCGATAGGGTTTATTGGAGAGTTTGTTCAGTTGTGAGTCAAGATGATTGCTAACCGGACGCTCATGCGATTTTTGTCCATAAAAAAGGGTGTGTGAAGGAGAGTGGTACCAGGTGAAGTATGAAAAGCTCCCAAATGTTTTTGTGCCAGTTATGGTTTACTTGGTCATTGTCATCAAGAATGTTCGGGAATGGTGAGGATGACGAGGAAACAATCGAGTGGTGTGACTTCATTCCAGTGGAATGCGGCCACATCAGAGGTCATGGAAGGGGGGATGGGGCTCGAGTAGAGGCCGAGGAATGAATGATACTTGTGATAATGAAAGAAGGAGAGGTAGAGGATTTGGAGGAATGTGTTGATAGCTCAAGAATTTGTCAATTTTTTTGGAAAGGTGAATATATTAATATCGCGAAGATACCAATTACACCCAGTCTCTGCACCAACAAGAAATCAAAAGACATCTAGGATGCACATAACGTGAAAATAAAACAGAAAAAGGGGAAATAAATAAGCTAATTGCTTTTGCAGATTCTCAAACAGTTACTTCATACAAGATATGTGGCAACTTGTGTGTGACAGAAAGGCTACTCATAAATACTCTCATTCACTCTTCGTTGGGATGATTACTATTGAGATACTTAGATGAAGGTGCTAGAATACCATGTGTGCCTTGTAGGCCATCAAGGATTTTCTTGCGATGGTGTCGAAGAGCTAAGCACAGAGTATTTGTTCCGTAACTAATTTGCAGGTGTTATTATTGTAGATGCTTTCTGACAGTGATAGAGGATCTACTCTTTTTGGTAGAACTTATTTAAGAGATTATATTTCGCATTTTATGCATGAGCTACAAGCTCCACTAATAAAAAAATATAAGAAAATCAAACTATTGAGCTTAACGCTTTGTTTACAGAGATGTTGATTAATCAAGAAGAAAGAAAAAGTCCCTAAGGGAGTATTGTGCTCCATATATGATGGGCTCAAGATCTCATATAGTTTATCCTACAAACTTTGCTACTGAGTATTCGACTGATTGTGAACTAATCCATGAAGTGCAAAAGCATGCTTTTACAGGAGATGAAGAAGAGGAACCTCAAGTGCATCTTATGTTCTCTGACGCTTTATGCGGGACTTAATAAATTGAAGATGTGCCCTGAGAATTTATAAGGCTGAAACTCTTCAAATTCTCTCTCAAGAACAAGGTTGAAGAATGGTATAATAGGCTATCGTATTGCAACATAATTTGCGCTAGAAATTAACCCTAGTTCGACGACGTCCTCACTCGTCGATGTCGAGGTAGTACTTGATGGTTGTCTTATAGAGTACGGTGGCGAGCTCGTGCTCATTCTGGGTGACGATGAGGCGGTTGGTAGCACCTTCTTCTCCGTTGGCCACTACGCGCTCCGCGACGACGAGCTCCTCATCAACGACGCAACACCCCCATGATGTGCGGCAAGATGTGCTCGTTGAGCACATCGAGGCCAACCCAAGGGCTTTGCCCGTGGCTCTGGGAGAGCCGGCCACGCTCCCACGCTTGCGTTGACCTCCATGGCACCACGGGCGCGGCTAGAGCTGCTGGCCTCCGTGTCATGCTGCCCACGCTTGCTCTGAGGCGGCCCAACATGGCCGCCAAGACTTTCACCAGTATCGCCCGCCATCGATCTTGGGAGAAGGAAAAAGGCAGAGGAGAGGAGGGCGGAATTTCTCGCCGGAGCATATCCGGGTTATCGTATATTTTTCTTGCGGCTGCTACGTGTAAGCCGGATGATCTTACAGAAAGATCATCCGCCTGCGCAGCCGTCTGATTGAGACATGTGTGGCCGTTGATTGCAGGCTCGCAGTACACGTCTTCCTTTTGTCGCTACCCCATCCTCCTGTCGCGGACGAAGCAGTACGCCGTTGGAGCAGCAGCCCCTCCCTGGCCAGCAGTGCAGCGTCGCCGTTCGCCGGAGTACTGATTTTGGTCGCACCAGCCCCGCCGTCGTACCACAAACAAATATTCCAACGCACCATCCCGCCGTCCGCCCATGCTCCGACGCAGCAACGCCACACAGCACCGAGCGTGCGACAGGTTCAACGCAGCATCTCCAGCATCTGGTGAAGCTCCGATGCAGCCTCGACGGAGCTCCATTACACCGTCACAGCTTCCACAGCCCCGTCCAAGCTTCATTGCAATGTCGGTGGTGCGTCAAAAGCTCCAACGCAGCCCGGGGAAGCTCCATTGCAGCGGCGGCAAAGCTCCAATGCAGCGTCGACGGTGCGG